TCATTAGATGTCACAAGCTCTACTAAAGGGATTTCCTGCCATATCGGCAAGGCTTACCTATATTCTGAAGTTAGCATTGACAGTATGATAGAGCATGTGCTCATAAAATAGGACACCAGATACACAATCCAACCAGAAAGCAATCTGGTATGTTCATGCTGTGAAAACTGCAATTATTCCGCCATCTGTGCGGTATACTTGTAGATTATATTTTCATTATGCAGGATGTCAAAGAGTATTAGCAATTCTGAAATTATGCAAGTGCTGTTCTTAGAAAACATCGGTTGAAGGAAATTTATCTGTAGCATGTGTTGTTCTTGCTGTAACTTTTTTTTCCTTTTCTGTCTAATTCAACACCAATATCAACACATTGCTTCACGGTGTAGAAGGTATGTGAATGAAAGGCAAGTGAAAATATGTCAGCATGTTAGTGAATCAAGTTTATGAACACTGCTTAATTTTAGATACATTTTAGAGCAGTAATAACAGTATTTTTTAAAGATCTCTCATTATAGCTACTTTATATAAAACACTGGCCATGACTTTTAAAAAAAGTAGTTATGGTTTTGCTTCTTAATATTGATCAGACAGTTTAGTCAAAATAGGCTAATAAAACATAAACCTTGAAGTCCACAATAAAGTTAATCAGCTTATAGTTAACTTCTTATAGGTGCTCCTCCTTATGGTTCAAAGCATTTTGGTCCATTAGGACATAATGCTCTCCTCTTTTTTCAAAGTAATTAAGAATGATTAAGCAAACCTACTGGACAACTCGGGGTTTAGTATCTTATCCAAGAATACTTCAACATGCAGGCTGGAGGAGCTAAGGATCGAACTGCCAGCCTAATGATTAGCAGATGACCCGCTCTAGCGCCTGATACTAAAGATGGTGCAGGCACAGAAAGAAGTTCCTTTTATTTTAGGAATAATGTTCGCATCTGTGCTCTCAATGTTCAGTTGACAATGAATAACATACAAAAGTTACCTACCACTCCCTAATGAATGAAGTTCAATACCCAGCATGAGCTCAGTATTTGTTGTCTGTGGTTGTTATTCACTTATGTACCGCTGGCAAAAAAGAACAACACTTCCATCTTACTCAATCATATCAGAGACTTGCGTGACTGAGATCATAAAAGTCATCTCTGCTGCCTTTTGTAGGCATCTCTCCTCAGGGTTATTTTTGCTTACATTGTTCTGATCATGTTTGAGGTACAGCAAACAAACATGGTCAAAAAATGTTTACACCCCATTTTTCCCTGCTGTAAAATAATAATATACCTGACAGCCATTTTCCTTAAGTATTGCAATAATTTTGATTGGAGTGTTAAAATTTACTCACCTGAAGTGTGCAGGTTGAGCAGGTGCCAAGATCTCAGTCTGAGGTCAAGGCCAAAACACTCACAAGACAAATTATTATCCATATTTTTAACTGTCAAAAATCAAATGACCTTGTCACAGCTCTTTCCTGACCACATCAGTCACCATTTACAGCTCAATTAAGATGTCATTCTAAATTATTTATCAGTTAGTGGTCGGCTGGTCTCTCACACCTTAAAAATGGAACGCTGGTGATAATAAAAGCCTGTTGTCACTCTTCATGGGCAGCCTGTCTACATAATAATTGTAAAGGTCTCTAGTTAGCATGCTGGATTACCTTTTAGAATTATAATTGAACAAGTTCAAAAAGTGTGAAGCTCACCTCAAGTGACAAGCAGTGTTATAATATTACTACCAGGCAGCAACAGTTTTATCTTTTAATATGTTTTTATGCCACTGAAGTGCTTTGAACCTTGTTTATAGCTCAAATCCAAAAACCACATTTTCTCTTCTTGTTTTTTACATTCGAGGCAACAATCTATGCAGAGGGTCAGGTGGAGATTAAATGAATGGGGACTGACATATGTACCGTCGCCTGTGAAATATACATTTAATTTGCTTTTAAAAATTGGTATTCTTAGTGAGTAGGAATTATTTAGCAAGGCTCTTGGCACACTGTACTTATTTTGTCCTATTTGTGTACATGTGCTTGTAAGAAGCATTGTTTATGATCAAAGCAATTGTAGATACAATCTTAAAAAGTTTAGTTTGTCTCATCAAATGTCACTTTAGTATAGTTAGTAGGGCCATCATGATACTAGAACTTTACACTCGACACTGATAGACAAGAAAATACTCAATACCATTTTCCATCAGTGGGTAGAAAATTAAGAGTTAGGCAGAAATAGATTAAAACAATATTGTTATGTGCAAATGTATTTATCTACATCCCAGTTCATTCTTTTTTTCTGCTGGTGACTTAGCACCCTATTTTCATTGCTTATCAAATGCAGTTGGTGAGGTAGGCTGCCACTGTTTCTGTCACGCTGTTAGTAGACTTTTCTCTGCTTTGATCTGGGACTTAAAGGGAACCTTAACACTTAAAGTATAAATAACTATGTTATTCTATTCAACAAGCACTGCCTAGCTCCCACATTAATGTCACTTTGTTATTATTGGATTTAGCTAGACACTGTTTTGATAATGGTTTTGGATTCAGGAGACAGACACTATCTCTACTGTTAAGATTAGGCTTAAAACTTTCCTTTTTGCTAAAGCATATAGTTGGGGCTGGATCAGGTTGACCCTCAATCCTCCTTTAGTTATGCTGCAATAAGTGTAGGCTGCAGGGGGATTCCTGTGATGCACTGAGTATTTAATTTTCAGTCACCTTTCTCACTCAACATGTGTTAATAGACCTCTCTGCATTGAATCATACTTGTTATTGATCTCTCGCTCTCTTCCACAGCATGTCTTTTATCCCATAAACACATCTTCTCTCACCCCAACCGGTCGCAGCAGATGGCCCCGCCCCTCCCTGAGCCTGGTTCTGCTGGAGGTTTCTTCCTGTTAAAAGGGAGTTTTTCCTTCCCACTGTCACCAAAGTGCTTGCTCATAGGGGGTCATATGATTGTTGGGGTTTTCTCTGTATGTATTACTACCTTACTGTTGTTGTGATTTGGCGCTATATAAATAAAATTGAATTAAATTGAACTGAATTGAATAATAACCCATGGCTAATGTGGCTGTCGCATAATAGTTAAATGGCTTAAGGTAAAGTTGTGTGTCAACTGGAGGAGGCAAAGATGGTACTGTCTGTATTGAGACTGTTACAAATGAGTATCTAATCCAGTAGTAGTTTTTGTATTGATTAGTAGCTGAGTGTTGATTATTTGGACAACTGTAATAGAAACATGATAGTGACTTTATGATTATATGATCAAAAGATGTCTAATGCTGCTTCTGACTGTTGACAGACCCGTTCAAACTTTCCCACCCATCATGACCTCTCCACAAAAGTCCTCCGTATGGGTTTAAATTGGCCAAGGACAGCAGAGATGAAAGCTGCCCATAATGAGGTTCCTCCCTTAGGATTCAATGTGTAGCTTTGTCCCAGGAGCTCCTGAAGGTTGTCTGTAGAATCAGTCAGCTATGGGGTGCAAGCCCGAACAGCCAGCTTGTCTGTCACCTTGCCATGCAGTTAATGTTGTCTAGAAGTGAAGTTTACTTAGGGACAAAATATATTTTTGGACATCATAAAATATGAAAAAAATGTACGCACATGTGATATAAGTGAAGCTTTCTGCAACATAGTCATCATGCCTCATCTTAAAATATTGCACCGTGATCCACACTTTTATTTTAAGCTGCGCCCTTGTTCATAACTTCTTCATTTAACTTCACCCAAGTTTGTCACTGTGGCTTTTTCCGCAGTGTTCACAAATGTGAAATAATAAGGCTCTTTGTTTTTTGTTGTCATGAAAAGACTGCCATGACACCCCACCTTATAGGCGATCACTGTTCATTCTGACAACAAATGATAAAGAAAAGCTGCCTTGTATTAAACTGTCTGCTCCAGCTCCTCTCCGACTAGAAGTAGGTTTTTGAGTTTACCGGACATTGAGCTGCTGCACTAGGAAGTAACCTGCTAACTTCTCCCCAAAGCTAGCATAACTTGATTCCTCACGTAATTTTTTCCAGATGCGTTATCGGCATCAACAGTCAGTGAAAACATTAACATATTCTCAGGGACGTTTTACAGAAAGCAAGTAAAATAAGGTAAATTATATAACTAAAATGCAATAACGTTTAAGTCTTGAAAAGACAATAAAGCATGTGAAAAGACACAGACATAGTAATTCACTGTTCTGTATAAGAGGGCAAGGTAAGTACAAGTTAATATCACTAGATATCATATTGTAAGCAGTACTCAACCTCAACAAAGCTAAAATACAACATCAAACTTCAGTGATTCGATTTTATAATCCAGCCGCAAACTATGGAGACACCTGCGAGTCAAAGTGCACAGTGGTGCATATTAAGGCAGGACCCAGCGGGAGTTCACAGTGCCCAAAGCAGCAGAGAGGAGCGAAGGAATCTACTACTGAAAATAACAGCATGTACACACCGAAACAGACCTGTTATATGTGAAGCTCACTTGTGCATTCCCATTATTGTTACACTAAACCTCCTCAGATGTTTTTCTGCACGACCAGATTTCCCTTTTGGGAATCAGATGACTTTGTGTTTTGGAGGAGATAATGCTGAAAAGGATGATGATGATCAGTTAAACGAGGACTGACCTTGTGTGTTGTTGTTATCATCACTGGGTTGATGTGAATCTGCAGCTTCGCCCTCCCTGCTTGTTACAGTTGAGAGTGAAAAGAGCAACTCCAGAATCTTTCCCATGTTCTGCAATGTTTACCCTGCGTCTGACCTTTATGTTGTTATTGAAGAATCACTTTGCGAGGCTAATTATTATCGTAGTGTAATTGGGTGTGTTTTCCAGAACTTGGAGTTGAGCTTTGCTAAGTGTGTAAATAGGGGATAATTACTGCTGTGCATCTTGACAAAAGAGCTAAAACTTGGTAGGATGGGAGACGGAGAAAATTTGATTTGTATGTTTTTAACATTTAGTGCTAAATCTAAAACGGTGCCTCTCATTTACTCTCTCTTTGCAGTCCGTCTGCTTTGAAGCCAGGCAGCTGTGTGGGGCATCGGGTGTGGATCCTGCTAGCCATGACTCACCTTACCTTGGACTTCTCTGTGTGCAGCCCTCTCAGTCAAGGTCTGGGGATCAAACTCACGCCTAAACCGGTGCCTCGCTCACGGCCTCGCTTGCAGCCCCTCTGGGATAAGCCTAACATGCTTCACTGGAGAACAGTGAGCCCGTTAGCCCACCGGCTCCTGAGCCCTGTTCCTCCGCCCCAAGACAGCAGGGCAGGAATAGTGCCAAAAGTTAAAGGTCAAAAGCATTGGAAGCCAGCACACAAAGGACAAGCAGCGTGCAAGAATTGCCGGCTGAGATACTCTCAAAAAGAGACGGGCGATCCTTTGGCTGTAATAGCAAAAGCTCCAGTTGCTTTATCAAGCGGGAGGTTGTTAATTAGAACCAGGAGGCAGCTCAAATGGGACAGCTATGACAAGTCTCAGGAGGGCCGGACTACAACAGTGGCTGGATTTATTGACTGGGGACCCACGGGGACTGATAGCATAGATGAGGATGGCAAAATGGAGCCAAACTTAACATCCACCAGGGCTGCAACTACTACAGTGGCCACAACCACTAGCACTACAACCAGGCTCTCCCAAAGGACGTTCACTGTGGTGACCACAACAGAGTCCAAGAGCACCACCAAGTCCTCTATGAGCAACACGGAGTCTGTCAAACCACCAAAGCTAGACCCACCAGGGGACACACCAGGTAAGAGATATAAGATATATATATAGATATGTTTTTTTTTCTCTCAGTAACTGTTAAACAGACAAACATAGAGTGCTGTGAAGGTAATTCTTCAAGTCAGCAGTGTCCAAACATGCTACTTAGATTTTCCTTTGCAGGTTGTCTTTTTAATAAAACATTTCTCAGGGGAACCTTAAGCGGATAAAGGTAACACATTTGTTAAATCAGCTCTGAAAACATTATAAATAAATTATGAATTGGCTTTTCTCTGCAGAGCTTTATTTTGTGATATGACAAGTTTTCCACAGTTGTGTTTACAGGTATATATACACGTAAAACAGGTTCTATAGGAATGAAACGTATGTTAATGACATTTCCTAACAAATTCATAATCTGTTTAAGCCCCAATGGATCTATGGATAATTGGTCACTCTCTGACAAACTGAAAATCAAATGAATCTGAAATATACAGCTTTGCTTTTACACTGAAAAGGGGTTAAATGTGTGACTATCACACATTTACCACCCTTACTGGTCTAGCCAGTAACGGTCCTGGCTAGACCCCCCATGCTTAAAACCAAGCCCTGGAATGGCGCGGCTATGTCTTCAGCCTCTCCGCAGCTCGGACGCAAGAATTTCACTACATGTTGTACCCTGTATAATTGTGTATGTGACAAATAAAGGTTGTTGTTTGTTTGATTATAAGCCTCTATAATCACCTTTTCACTGTACATCTGATGATCTGCTTTCATGACTATAATATTGCAGCTTAGAGATATAGGCGCTGATACTGACAGACTATGCCCTCGACTATATTGTAGCCCTCAGGTCTGAAATACCGATGGTGGACATTTTATGGGCAAGGATTTTTATGGGCAGTTCTTCTGTAATGTGGAAACACAATCCTCTCCTGCCGGGCTTATTAGATTTAGTATGTCATTATGTCTATGAGGAACATGTTTTTTTTTAATTAAAATGACCTGTGTAAGTTATGTTTTAACAACTTAGGAACAATAACTGTGGTAAATTAAGTTTTGCCATTTAGTACAGTAGCAAAAATGTCATAAAAGTATGCAAAGATAAGGAAGGACTTACTCAGTTTTAATGATAAATGTTAGAGGAATCAAGAAAGGTTCATACTGCAGTGGGAGTATTCAGATAATGAACACTTTGAACTATTTGCTGTTACTCAGTGCTGTTCAAGTTCTATACTGGAACAACAATGCCTCCCAAAGCAGCCTTGAGTGTTAGTGGCATACATATAAGTTGCACTGTGATTGAACTGTATATAGCACATGCAAAATGAAATGGCAGGACATAATTATCTTGTCAGTGCTGTTGTGATCTCTTCATTTTCTCTTGATTGGGAGGTAAGTGTGAGACCACCTGTGATTCAGATGATGGCTTGTATCCTGGAGGAAATCAGTCACCACAGCTAACTGAGAGCTGATAAGAAAGGAGAGTTGAGACTTTTTCTCCCTCCAACTGGTTGAATATTATTGAATCAATAAGCACATTGTGTCTGATCAGAGCAGATGAAGAGAATCATGTTTCAGAGCGAAGAGTGGGTGTGTAATCGCAGCAGAAATTTTCCCTCTGCCTTCACAACACGTTAACCCTCTGCCTCATATTAGCCCCAAGGCAAGATGTAATTACCACACAAGCAGTGCAGCATTGGATTGCTGATGAATTGAAAGTATAGCAGATGGAAAGGCGCTTCACTGTATGCCTGTCTCTTACTCTCATATCTCTAAATTGTCTTAGTGGATGCATACAAAATTTCTTAGTCATGATTGATGAAACTTGCAGTGGGATAACCTCTCACTTGCAAACTTCAACTGATTCTGTTAAAGTGGGCAAAGTGTTAATAAAATTTATTTTAATTTATCTAGGTTTCTCCTTCTCTCTTACCACTATCCCTCACGGGAAATCCTTTCACAGAAGGTTAAGACTTATGACTGCACTTCCGGATGTCTACTGTGTCTAACCTGCCCACTGCACGCAATGTTTTTTTACTTTAACAGGCAGATGAGTTGACATTATCTGACAGCAATGCTAACAACAGCATCTAATCTGTCAGTGCCTAAGACAAAAGGCTGCTTTGTCACAAAATAACTGCTGAAAGTAGGGCTGTTCGATATAACGATATATATCGGATGACGATATAAAAACGTCTATCGTTTCATTTTACGCTATCGTTTGTTTCGTGGTGTCGCAAAATAAACTGTTTACGGCAATATTTTTTTATCGTTCTGATGGTCACTGTAGCGGCTATATTAATTCTGTAAAGTTCTCTCTTTCTCTTATATTTTATATAACCACACTACGGACGGACAAGCGCCTGTTTTTATGCGTTGTGGTTAGCAACAACAACGGTAACAGCATCGCGTGTCCGCTTGTTTATGTTCCACATAAACCTTTCACAGTAAAACTCAAGATCCTGTTGAGACTTTTCAAAATAAACTGAATCATGTGAAAGAGCAGATTATTTACGGATGAGAAGTAAAAAAGAGCCGCCAGGTGCTAAAAAATAAACCTTAGACTCAAACGTTAGAACAGGCTTTTCCCCGCAGCACGCCGTGTAATAAATACTCACAAAGAAAACGGCGGCTGTTACAACTTATGTCTTAAAATGTATCGTTTCATGCATCGGTTAAAGCACTCGACTCCAGCTACATGACGCGCAGCTGGAAACACTTCCCGCAAGTCGAGCTGCCCGTGATTCACAGAATTTACAGAAAATGTTACATTTTTGTGATTTATATCGTTATCGGGACGATAGAATTCTTATATTGGGATATGAGATTTTGGTCATATCGCACAGCCCTAGCTGAAAGTTATTTTTCATACAAGACCAACCCAAATGTCAGTGCTTAAACAGAGCTGTGTCGAAGTCCATTTAAGGTTAGTAGTGAGTAGGAGAGAAGCTGGTGCACATGCATGCAATGTAGATGCATTGCTCTGAAAAATGCATAACCAGTGCAAAAGACTGTGCATGCATCATGCATGCATGCAGAGAGTTCAAGCGCATTTGGCACCCAGCTGGTATCTGCTGAATGTACTTTTCGCTCCGTGGTTGTGCCTTGCCATCCTCCAAGCTTTCACTCACTCTGCTAAGTTAACTGTGGCAGTTATTTCAGGTGAGTGATACAATATTTTCATGTACATGGAAGTGCCGCCACATTTCAGTTCACATTCAAAACATGGTCAAGTCATCTGCAGCCAATATGAGAAGAACCTAGGAGACTATTAGTTTCGATGTTATGAGGATTTAAACAACTTATGCTATTTACTAACCAAGTTATTCTAAACGAAACATTTTTAATTACTGTTGTAATTCTCCTGTGCTTGATTGTTTCCTATATTCACAGTATTAATAAGCATGTATAACCCCAATTCTGAAAAATGTTGGGATGCTGTGTAAAATGGAAAAAAAAAAATTAAGGTTTAAATTGAGAAAATATGCCCTTTATTTATTGAAGAAAAAATATTAGCTCATTTTGAGTTTGATGGCAGCTCTTCTCAAAAAAAATTGGGAGAGGGCCACGTTTTCCACTGTGCAGCACCAAGGGCACTCAAAAGTAACTGCATTCTTAAAGTATCGATGGAGAATGACAGTTAGCTCATAGCATGCATTCTGGATTCTGGGGTTCTGCCATCCATCCAGCCATCCATCTTTATCGATATATACAATTTAGGGTCACGGACATTCTATAAAAAAAATCTAAATTATTAAAAATGCCAGAAGTGTTATTTCAAGTTGGATGATTAATTACAAAAATGGTTTCTGCAATGCTGCAAAATAGCTGAAAAAGATGTCTAGAAATTATGTATTTAACAGAGCCAGTTATTGACTAATTAAATATTCATTTGTTTGGTACATTCATCCTTGCACTTACTTTCAGTACCTTCTTCTTCTATTCATCTATAGTGTTGATGCAGTCTATAGACTTTCAGGCAAAAAGGTCCTCACAGCATGGGCTGGTAGCACGTTTCCTAAAATAATTAGATACATATTCAGATCAAAAATGAACTTCCTTATACTAAATCACTTGGCTGCTTCAGCTCAGCAGCTCAGAAAATGTCTATATCTTTGCTGCTTAGGCACTCACTGACTATGAGACCACGGTACAAGTAGAGACATACAGCCGTGCAATAAATGCACATTATGACTCATGAATATTGTATGCTCTCACAAACGCAAGTCGTGAATGTACTTGATGTCATACCATATGGTGTGTGTGTAACATGACTGTAATCATTTCACAGTGTAATCGCTGTCAAACATGAATACAAAAAGCAGAGAGTGGCAGAGAGTAGAGGAAGCTACTTTCGACTGCTCTCTTATTCACAAGGATTTGCCAGTGATAGAGGAAGTATCCAAAAAGCCTTTTTTTTAATCAAAAAAGAAAGAAAATAGAAGTAATGTAGATTTTTTTCCGACAGTAGTCTGAATGTTACATTCTGTTGCTTGATTGTGCTCCGATAAAATCATTAATACTTCAGGTGTCGGTGAATTTCTGAACGCATGTTGCACCTGTATGACCGCAAGGATAGAAAAAAATGTAGAAGAGCAAGCTCCACAGCACTTTGAAAACCAGTTTTATTCTGTCATTAGCGGAAATGTCTTCAGATATTAAAAAAAATTCCAACTTAACCCCAGGCTAAATCAAACCTAAGACTGCCATTACCATGGCAACAGGCAGTTACACCTGTGTTGACGATTGGGACTCGAGTCAAAAAAGGAGGAAAACAGAGCTCATATTTTGTGCTTTTCTAACATTGATTTTGGTAGCACAAAGCGAAAGGAAACTGTCCTGATCCTGAGCGCAGAATTCACAGAACTATACTGAAACCTGAAAATAATCCCACCTATGCCACAGGATTGCACTGCGCTGAGCTTTTATGCAGCAGAAAGTTTTCTGTAGTGTTTGCACCGTTGACTGTTGCTGTCAATTTTTCCCAAAATTTTTTGTCATAATCTTTTCTGGATTTTATGGAAGTCCTTATTATTCTTGAGA